GTGTGTGTGTGTGTGTGTGTGTGTGTGTGTGTGTGTGTGTGTGTGTGAGTGTGTGTGTGTGCGAGAGAGAGAAAGGAATCCCATTACAACAAAAAGTTCTTTAACTACTCCTAAAAACTTAAACTCTTCTTAAGTTGCTGACCTGAATATGAATCTAAATCTAAATGTCTCACCATCATTAGTGCTTCTGCTAAAACTCAGTATATTCCAGACAAGCTGGAAACAAAATATCCAGCACAGTGTAAAATAATACTGTTATTTTATTGATAACCTAGCATTTCACATGATGAGAGAAGAATATATCCTTCTTTTCGTCCAAAAAAACCCTGCTAATCAGAGAATGTTTGATGTCCGCATTGCATTCTTTTCTTATCTATTTATACCTCATCTAAAGAAAAGATGACCAACTTTAGAGAACATCGCTGAATGATAAGCTAGTAAATCAAATCAATTTACGAAGTACAATTCTGAGGTACTTTACTATTCTGCTACTTTGTTCCTCGACTCTACTCCATTTAAAAAAGAAATATTGTACTTTTTATTCCACTACAATTATTTGACAGCTGTATTTACTCGGTCCTTGGATTTGACGTCAAACGTATGATCATCTTATTAAACATGATGTGTTGGTATACATTAAAGGCCTGGCTGGCCCTCACAGTAGATTAGACCTGCTCAGTTTGGAGTTGTGCGAAGCAATGCTGGGATTTATGTGAGAAACAATTAGTGCAGAGAAGGGTTTTTTTCATCTGGTAGCACACAGTAATAACTTGTGTGTACAAATGATTTTCTTGTTTGCATAAGTAAAAATGTTCCAGGACTTTGAAATATAGAGACGAATCATTTTGCAAAGTGAGTACTTTTGACACTGCAAGTACATTGAGCTGTTTTACTCAAGTAGAATTCCGAATGCTTTTACTTGTACCAGGGTATTTTTAAACTGTGGTATCGTTACTTTAACTGAAATAAAAGATCTGTGCTATGCCAGGGTAACACACACACACACACACACACACACACACACACCAAGTCGTTCTCTTCTTCCCTCAGATCTGTCAGCCTGTCTCCACACTCCTGAATCGTTTCGACAGATGATACAAAGGAAGCCTGATCTTAGCCGTTGTACACCTTAATCGACCGCTGCCTGCAATTCCCGCTGAGAGAGGAGACGTTACATAACTCATTAAGCAGCGTTCCTGCCCTCTTGTTCCGCGCTTAAAAGAGCTCGATGCCAGACGTTCAACTTGGTGATGCTTAATGGAGAAATTAATATGTGCAACCATGCTGGAGTTTTAACATCCACAACCCTGAACCAGAGCTTCTCCTAATTCCCTCAGTTACTGTTTTATGTATTGGCTTGCACACACACAAACTCACACACTTACATACTAACTCCATTACGCAATCACCGAGAACTTGTACCCTAAAAGAGGGTTTGGCCAAGCAGACGGACTCATTAAATTGGTCTTGTTTGTATTTCTGCGTGGATGAGTGTAAGTGCAGATGGGCATGAGGACATCAGCATGGGCATCGTGTGTATCACCTCCTGTAAAGTGAGGTCATTGAGTGTGTGGCTCAAAATAGAATAAAGTTCGTTGATTTTGGGAGAAAACCCGAGGATATATCTCATTTTCTCCAAAGCTCAATGCAAAACTGTTTTACAAATCTGCTGCGGGAGCCTGAATACAGCTAACTTACATCTGCTGTACATACAAAAACCTGTCATGTGGCTATTCTGTCAATACAGGATCATGCTGTAGTTTGCCAGAAACCTTACAAATTTGATACCAAAACAAAAACAAAAACAGGACTTGATACAACCCTGGGAGAAAGATGTGATGGTACAGTAGAAATCTGGCAAGAAAGAATTATATTAAATATAAATATTAAAAATCTTCACAGGAAAACCAGTTATTTTTCCACCAGTGATCAGAATTATGTGGAGTTATTCAATTTGAAAAGCATTTACGTCAGTGGAGAATGCACACACACACAAACACACACAAAAGACTTCAGAGACCTGAGCTTCTCAACCAGTTAATATACAGTGCCACTAGTGTGTGATAATCATTGATCTGTTAATCAATGACGATGATGATGATCATCTACTAAGATGATGATGGTGGTAATGATGAGGATGACAGTATAAAATGGACCGTTTCCTGATAATCCGCTAATTTGGCACATGCTGAATTACACAGGAGGATTTTCCTGCGTCTGCACACGCGCGCACACACGCAAATACACACACACACAAACGATGCAGCTTATAAGATGCGAAACATCCTCCTAGTTAATCATCTTACAGCATATTGATAATAGTGTGTGTGTGTGTGTGTGTGTGTGTGTGTGTGTGTGTGTGTGTGTGTATAAAGGGGATAAGGTAGAGGCTCAGAGTTAGTGCAAATGTTGTTACTGTAAAGACTAACTCTTGACATTTCTCCACTCCTCCACCTACAGCATAATTTTCTAATTTATTCAACTGCCATCCTCCACATCTCTCACTCACTCTCTCTCGCACTCTCTCTCACACTCTCTCTCACACTCTGTGTGCGTCTTTCCTGTGTGCCTGTCTTAGCACTGACAGTCACAGATGTGATGAAATCTTCTGTCTACACAAACACACACACACTTATGCAAATAGACTTGATGTATGCATGGCAAATTGGCGAGCATATCAATACGCATTACTCTCAATTTCACGCACAAAGAGGCACTGACACAAGCACGAACACACATTTTATAGGTTGAAGATGTTAAAACAATAATGCTATACCTACCACTGATGTTGTTGCTCTCATCCAAATGCCCTGATAAAGCACGCTGTCTCTGTGCGTGTGTGTGTGTGTGTGTGTGTGTGTGTGTGTGTCATCGGACATTCGTGAGTGCTACATGTGTGCTCATCTATCCCTGAGGCTGAGATCAAGTGTGCTGGCTGCATCAATGGACTTCATTAATGCTAATAGCCAGGGCTCCACTCTCTCAGCTAGTTTGTTCCATTGTTCATTAACCTCACTTCATTTAGCATGGGACTGCCTGGCCGTCAGGCCTGGGACTGCTGTCTCACCCAAAGTCCCCGGCCTGCAGGGAGAGAACTTGTGTTAATCCAGTTAATTTATGTGACGCTTCAACAGTCCACATTCCCACCTGTGAGATTCCCAGTTCAACCAGTGTTAAAAAAACAAAAACAAAGGTTGCACTTGAACACGCTGCAAAGGAAGCCGATGACCAGCTGACCGCCAACATGCGCGCATATCTGCTCTCTCTTGACAGCAAAATAACTATTCAATGTTCTGTATTATAATCCAAAAATCATCCTGGAGAGACAAATTGAATTAGCCCACCAATGCCAGCATTTCTTTTAAACTCCTCATTATCTGCATATGGCAACTACAGTGTGGTTACGTCATCTTTAAAACATTAAGGTTGTGGTTATGCTGGAAAACATGAATTGTACATATGAGACAGGACACACTCTGGACTACTGTAATCTCCACAAACTGACTCTGCCTCTCTGTCTGCTTGTCTCCTACCAGAACAGCACCATCTGAATAACTCAGCTTACGGGCCGTTTGGACAAGGGCTTCCACACCCACACAGCAACCACAGCACGGTGGGCCTCAACAAATACACCTCCCTCAAAGCTGTGGGTAAGTCGGACACACAAAATTGATGCTGACTCCAACTGGCACAGTAACCTTTGGAGTACAGCAGGCTGGCAGTACAGGAGGTGTCAACTGACGAGACTCTGTTTTCGTCCTGGGAAACAGAGAGCTGATCTTTAAGCCCACGCTGTTGCTGTCTATGGTGGGATTGGTTAGATATTAGTAACCGTCTCTAGGTGTGACTGCGTGATTGATTGATGAATGGTGGCCTACGGACAAGCCTAGGGAACGGAATTTATCTTTACTTAGAAAGAAAAAAAAAACGTTTTCCCAGTTTGTCTCTATTCCTAACATCTCAATCAGACAGGATTTGCATATTTATCAGAAAATGTTTAGGTATCCCACTTGCACACTAACACGTCATTGGTGGATTCGTTCTAATATTGGCTGCTTTGATGAGTGTTTTGGGGATGGAAAACTAAAACCTCTCCCTATTTACTAATCTTTAATGTATGTACAGTCCACAATATTTCGTGAAGTGTTGAAGAGTGGAATGTATTCAATGTATATTGTAGTTCCCTCAAGAATTCCCACAATGGTGTGAAAACTGCAGTGTCCATTGCATTTACATTACTATTTGGGAAAACACTTCATAAAAAAGGTATGAATCATATACTTAACTAATGATTGACTCATGATGATTTAATGCATGAATTACTGCATGATGCATCATGGATTCAGACCCATGCATGTGCTAAGCCCCTCTGAAAGCAGAACAGTACCTATTTGAATAGAAATTTTAAGCTTTTTTCCTTTTTTAATCAAAATGGTCGTCAGATGCAAACGTTAACATGTGGAATGACTGTTACTGACGGATGTCTGTGTTCTTAATTCTTTATAAACTTTACTCAGAAGTGTTATTTATTTTATTAACATTTTACATTTGTTTCCAGTGAGATATTAATGACTTTATATAGTAACTTGTAAACATAACTGTTGCTGCTCTATAAAGAAAAGATAAAGAAAAGATAACTCTACCTGAAGGCCACCATAGTTCTATAACCCGCCTGGAAAGGGAGGGGTGAGCAGAGGGGTATTTAGTGAGTTACAATCTGCCACACACCACTAGATGCAACTAAATCATACTCACTGGGCCTTTAAGCATGTATTCGATATGCACCCTTTGCAGTGTTACCGTTTTCAGTCTCTGATGGTTCATGACGGTCCCAAATCCCAATTTACTACCCAATATTGAGAAAACTATTGAGTGTGAACCGGGATGCAGCATTAGGCTAAAAAGATACTTTACAGTATCACAAATGGACACAAATCTATCCAATCAGACTATTGTCTTTATGCACAACTTTCCTGAATGGAATACATTTACATCTAACATTTTACTTTTGGTTCAACATGTTTTTGTGCTGCCCACAGATGTCGTTTTAAGAGATTTGTGATGTAACTGCGAAGCTATATACTACAGCACCAGAAAAGACGCTGTAGGGTTTTTACCAGGTGATTGTTCAAACCCTTTCATGTCGGCAAAGGTCACACATACATGTGCTGTCGTCCTTGAACAGCAGCGGGTGTAATAGTGTACAGAACAAAGCGATCCTCTCAAAGGGAGCCAAAGGCAAATCACTTACTTGTCATAGTTAGTTTTAACATTGATTAACAATGGAAGGCTGACTGAGATCGAGAGTAATTTTCAAGCAGCTCTTTGCACACTGTACATACAGTACAATCAGATGCCAGGATAGAGCAAAGGCTACAGACCTTTAGTTTGCAAGCTAACTGATGTTAGCGTTAGTTGGTTGTCAACGCTATCTCCAGGTGACTTATGAAACGAGAACCCAGTTAAAGGGCGTTAATATACACTTGATGGCTACATACTTTAAAATGAACTTCAAAAGGTGATTAAAAAATATACAATGATTAAAAAAGACATGACCCTCCAAACTGTCAGCTAATGTAGGAAGTGTGCTTTAGTACAGCTTTACCAAATGGTCTGCAAACAGGACATTCAGATATTACACAGCTTCATATGAACATTTTCCATCTCAAAGTTTTTGATTATTTTCAATAATTATTGGGTACAAACTAGTAGCATTTGAAAAAAAAAAAGGTGAAAACAAACAGCTGTTAGAGGACTCCGGCTTTCGGACAGAAAATGATAAAAACACACAGAGACAAGGTTAATGTTCATGTAGCCAGGAAGCTAGCGGCGATGACCTCAGTTTTTAGTTTATTTAAATAATTCTCTGTGACATTCATGCTAGCCCATGACACACACATGCATGCACGCGCACACACTCCGGACTTAGGGCGAGGGTATTTATAAACCTTCATTGCAATGTCCTACATCCTGACACACATACCTTTACCTCCATCATCTCTGTTGCACTCCTCAGTTTCCCCCCCCCCCCCCCCTCCTCATCACTCTCCCTGCCCTCTGCCCTCTCGTATTCCAGCAAGAGAGGAGTACCGCTAGAATTCACCTCGAGGGCATACACCAATTGGAAATACTTAAATCACCAGCTTTCCCCTTTGATCTTCTTCAAACCCTCCACCTCATCCTGACCATCCTTTGCTGTCCTCTGATTCTCTGTGTGATCTTTCAACTCAACTTTTTTCTCCTGAATTTCACTTTTACTGGAAACCATATAAGTAAAGGGAGGGAAAGTAACCTCTTGTTTGTGGTTCTGATGGTTCACACTGACACTTCCTGTTAGGCACTACCTTTATACTTTGTTTAATCATTATTTTGTCAACTCGCTTTTTATACTGTCACATTGTTTCATCCTTTCTTTCCTTCACTTCCTCCTTGTTGCCCCTCTTCTAGCTCACCTCTCTGTTTACTTTAGATCATAAGTTGAACTGTTTTACTGTTTTTAAAGTCAGCAGTGAGTGTCAGTTAACCAGCAGTAACTCACTAAAGTTAGCTAACATTAGCTGACATTAGCCACCATAAGCTCCTGGTCACAACAGATCAAGAGAGGCTTAAGCGGCAAAACCGCCGAATGTGTCAAGTTCAGAGTGGGTTTTACCGTTGAACCATTTAACTTTGTATTTGTAAGAAGAAGAAGAACGTGTTATCTCTTTTTTCAAAAATTCCATGGTGTCCCTTTAAAAGTTTCTAAAACACTTTGAGGAGCACAAAACGACAACATCGCTGACAGGTTGGAGCCTACAGGTCCAAACATAAATGCATCATGGATTACTGGTGTGATTCAGTCGTAAGTGTTTCTACAGTGACACACTCTGTGTTTATACATTGACAGTTCATTTGAGGCTACTTCTGCATGTGACTCAGGATCAAACTGTGACAAATTGAAAATGACTCTAAAGTATAAACAAGTTTAAGGAGCCCATAGCATGTGTTTGCTGTACTGGCCTATTTGTTAAAGGTTACAAACAGAACACAGTAATTTATAGAATTACTCCTGTTAATTCAAATTTAAGGAGAGTCATTTGGGGGGATTTTTGCCTTTGTTAGATAGACAGGACAGATAGACTGGGAAGGGGGAGAGAGACGGGACAACATGCAGCGAAAAAACCCTGAGTGCCCCTGAGGACTCAGCCTTGGTTAATGGGGCGCCCACTCTACCAACTGAGCTTTTTGTGTCTTTGGTGATCGTTTCTATCAGTTATGATGCATTGTGATCACGAAAGTAACTGCGGAGATTTGGGAACATTGTTACAATGAACTATGACAGGGCAAGAAAGGCGCGGTCAGACAGTTTTTTGCCAGAGTACCTAAAATATTTTACCTACATAGCTAAAATGTCTTAGTAAAACTACTGCAAGTATGGTAGGTCAAACCAAGAAGTCGGTCTGTAAACTGTTATGGATGTTTACAACTGACAGTTTGAGTTTTCTTCCAAATGAGTGAAGCTAACATGCTCACGTTTCATCCGCAATTTCCTGAGATAGAAATGATGTCTGAAACTACGTAAATAATAAGTTGCAATAAACAGAAATTATACTTTTTAACTCACTGATGAATGTTACTTTTTCTCGCCCACCCTTTTCTTCGTTACAGCGCACAGTGCGTCTCGTAGCTACTACAAGAGCTTCCCGCTCATGGACTTCTCCCAGTACCAGCCTGTGGCACCTCCCTCCTTCCAGCCTGTGCCTGTACAGCCCAAAGAGAAATCCTACATCCACCAGCCTGTGTCGGCACACCACGACCTCCACGCCCCTCTCTCTATCTCCATCCCCTCAAGCTACCTGGAGCAATCGCGCCTGCCCAAAACAAGCACGCACCCGCAGCTCTCCAGCTCGGCGTTCAAAGCCTGGGAGCCAACCGCCCGCCACGTCCACAGGCAGGCCTCTGCCCCGGGGCATGCCCCCTCTACCATGCACAGCTCTGCCCGGAGACATGGCTACTCGACCCGGAGGCAGCAGAGCATAGAGAACATGCAGGACATCTTTAGCCAGCCCTACGGAGGGATGTATGGAGGAGCTGGAGGGGGGGCAGGGCAGGGGCAGCACGTACAGGGGCAGCACGTACAGGGGCAGCACGTACAGGGGCAGCACGTACAGGGGCAGCACCCATCCCAACCCTCCTACTACCACCACAACAGGCAGAAGAGCTACTCCACCCACAGTTCGACTGAGGTGACCGTCTGAGCGTCGAGGCGTCAGAGAGCGGCCCGCTGTAATGTTTGACATACTAACAAAGAGCTTTGGTGTTAGCTAAATGCCAGAGTTTGGGACAGTTGGCCCAACAGGGGAGGATTATTAAACCGGGAGACATTCAGATTTACAAGATGAAAAGGAGTGTTTTGATAAGTGGAAACAGTGAGATTCAGGAGAAAAGCAGCGTAGCAGAACCACCACTCTTTACACATAAGGTAAAGATTATTATTGTACTCCAGCAAGGGTCTTTTACATTGATCATATAAAGTATATAGACTGTGCCTGAAAGGAAATCTACCACTCTCGGGCTCCCAAAGGTCACGCAGCCTTCACAGATTCTCAACTGCAACAGTTTTTGTGGTTTCATTGTGGTTGTACAGGCATTACGGGAATAGGCATAGCAGACCGGAACAACTCTTCCATGTACCAGATCTTACAGCAGGGGAGCTTCATTTTGTCTGTGAAGAGGTTTTACGTGTTGGCTTCCTGTCAGATTTTTGCGGAAATGCAGAATGAGTTTGTGTTAGCCGGGTAAGTCCGGTTGAATTTAGGTACAGTAGGTCATCAGCAACATGTGGCGGCAGAACAACAACCTGGCTCATGGTCAGGTTTGCTGGATTTGTTGTAAATGTGGTGAATAACCTTTGAGATTCATTTCTGTGGTTCACCTACGTGAGTCAGACCTCAGGAAACGTTCACTTAAACTCGACACTGAAAATCGTTTACCTTTATTGGCAACCAATAGGAACTGCAACACACAGCATGTAGCCTACTTCTAACCCCACCCACTACTCCCTCCCCCTGAAAGGAATAGTTCAACAATTTGGGAAATAGACTTATAGGCTCTTTTGCCTGGATGTATAATCCAAGCGGATATAGCATTGGAGGCGGCGCCCCGTTCATTGAAGCTGCTCAGTTGCGCACGAAGCAAAAAAAGTTTGTCTTCAGAGAATAAAATTTGGATACTATTACCCGGATCTTCAAGCGATCTTCCGCATCCATAGGGCCATAGCATTGCTACTATTCCCTTAACCCCGCCTCCCAACCCAGCGTCGTTCTCAGGCTCATTCACATGGACGAAGGATGGAAAATAACTCTGGATTGGCTACTGTTGCATTTTACAACGTTTAGAGCCTTACTGATTTAAATAAGGGCTGTTCAAGTGTTGGTACTGGGAAGTTGATTTACCTAAAAGAAAAAGATCTGCTGAGTTACAGACGTCTCTTTCCCAGGGGAGTCCTTGGGGAAAAGTCTATTTCACTACGTTCATCACGTGATGCCATAGGGCCCACTATGGCATCACGTGACGGAGCTGGACGTTGCAAAGGCACCATTTGTCCACTATGTAAAAGAAATTGCTTCAAAGCCCTCACATCTGTAAGTGGTGTCAATCTTCTCTTCTAACTCCATGCATGAAAGCGAATGAGCATATTTCCGAAAGTGTTGAACTGTTCGCCCCTGCATGTAGCAACAGGCACCCGTACATTAGTACATACATTTTAATTATCCCTATTATAAAAACTGGAATAATAATATTGTCACCATTTGCTTTTAGGCACAAAGATGAGATTAGAATGTTTTCCCTAAGATGCTGTGGTTAAGAAGTTTGTGGTCTGAAGCAGAAAAAAAATCTTCATCTTTACCTTATTTTAAGCATGAATGGAGCATTAGGATTTAAAGTGAAACCCCAGTTAGAGCACAGTAACTGTTGATTTTATATTTCACTAAGTATGATGTCTAAATTCAAATTTGTATTTATTTTAGATACGCTTGACATTTCTCACTGCAATCTATACATGACATACCATTTAGATCCAGTGTAATCATAACTCATCTCCAAATAACTCAGTTCAGGTCATTTCCAGGCCCCCATGGAGGCCTTCTTGTGCAGTTCTATGACAAGTTTCCTCCTGTTCTTGTAAAAAAAAAAAAGACCTCTACTATTTTGCATCTCTCGGTCTATCTCCACGCACAGCTGTTTTTTCCTCGTTTCTTTCTCTCCCCTCTTGGCCTCTCCCACCCTCTCTCCACGATGAAACGCTTTACATTCTGTACCATCGGGCCAAGCATACAGGGACAGCGTCCCCGGGGTCACATTAACATGACGGTGAGGACAATGCCACCATCACGTCAGCTTCCATCAGCCTCCATCCCGACCAGAGAGAGGGAGAGGAGGAGAGAGAGGGACAGTGTGAGAGCCAGAGGCTGGGACTCTTTAGAAATGAAGAGAAAGGGAGGAGAGAGATGAGGAAAAATAGAAAAACAAATGAACATGGCCGTGTGTTTTGTTTCCTCGAGGGATGGGGAAAGGGAAGAAGTCACTGTGGATCTGGGTCTCTCACTACCAAGCTGTCTGGGTCATAACTCAGAGTGTGTGGACGTGTGTGGATGCCTGTTTGCTATTTCCAACCTCGGGCAACATTGCAGGGGAATTCACTGAGGCACCTCCAGGCCTGGAGCGTTAGACATTTCTCATCTCGTCTCCGAAGCCTGTACAGCAAAGGACAGTGTCCACAGCTGCTGCTACGAACTCGCAACAGTTAACGCAACGCATTCACCGAACTAGTTGGTGAAAGTTTATGGCCGCAACACCCTCAGGAAACGCACGATGAAGTGAAGTGTTAACGATGATTGCACGCATGTCCAGAAAAAAAGCTTCCATAAGGGTCTGTTCTAATATTGCTGCTGTAAGAGCAGAGAGGATTTGGTGATGATGAACATTTCATTTGGTTGAAGTGTGAAGTGCTTTTGTAGCGGATGAATTAATAAGAGTCAAACAAAAAGAACAAATGCAAAGTAATGGACACATCATACAAATATAGTATAAAACATAGCACTTCTAAATGAACAAACCCCTCTTTGCCTCTAAAGTGGATATAAAACATCATAAAGCACAGACATCATTGAAATTCACTATACTGAATCAATTAATCTGGTGCCAGCTTTGACACATGCATACACACACACACACACACACACACTTACACAAGTGCTACCTTAGATTCCGCAATCCTGTACAAGTCTGAGTCCGAGTCTGCAGTCTAAACCTTCATCAAATCCTTTTATATCATGCTGTATATTAAAGTACCACATCTGAAAGCGACCATCTTAATATCTTCCCAGATGCAGGACATGCTACCAATTAAGTTTGGCAAACACCTTTTTTAAGGGACCAGTGTGGAGGGGTTAGGGGGATCTATTGGCAGAAATGGAATATTTGTAATTATGTTTTTATTAGTGTTTAATCCCCTGAAATTAAGAATGGTTGTGTTTTCGTTACTTTAGAATGAGCCCTTCATATCTACATAGGGAGCTAGTACTCATCACAGAGTCTGTCATGTTTCACCGCCAAGTTTTCTACGGTAGCCCAGAACGGCCAAATCAAACATTGGCTCTAGAGAGGGCCTTTTGCATTTCTATGCTGAAGTGGCAGTTTGAATTCTGGCCATGTGATGAATAATCCCAATATTAACTCTCCTTTTAGCTCCAGTTTGTTCTCTGCTCTCCTGGGGGAAATATCCATCCAGCTATTTCGCTGCTAAATGCTCCACAATGTTCACTAGCTGACCGCTAACTATGTCTTTTTGTTTTTGTTGCTGGACAGGTAGTGCACAGGTAGGGTTTTTAGAGCTTTTTCTAAAAAAAATTGAATACAACATTTAAACCATGCAATGAAATCGGTGAGAGTGAATCAAAACAGTAAAGTTGCAGATTGGAAAACAATGAGCCAAAAGATGCTAAAATGTTCCATATAAAGTTAAGGGGAACAGCAGAGTTGGGTGATAATTCTCTGTAGGGTTCATCACTTCAAGTGGCCCGTTTCAGATTACACTAATCTTTTGATGCATTGTTATTGGAAAATTATGGATTATAGCCACTTGTAAAAATAAAACCAACATAAAAGAGGTTCTAATTCTTCCCAGGAGAAATCTTTAGAGTAGCTCTAAGCTTGGAAAAGTGTCCAAAATGGATTTTATATAACACATTAATCCCCTTTTAATCAGATTAACATTGTGTAAAGTAAAGCTATATTAAAGATATACATTATTTTAGTGGGCCTGGCTGCAACACATGTAGACATTCAACTCATTTTAACTACACACCTGCTGCAGTTTGCCTCCTATGGATAAATCCCATTGAGATTTTTATTTTTTTCCCGTGGGAGGATTGGACCCCCACCTTCCCCTCCTTTGTAGTTCCATGAGCACAGCAAGGTATAAACACTGTCGGCTGTGTTAAGATTCAATAACCAGGAAAAAACTGATGAAGGTAAAATCATCTGCTATACAGTGCATTCCCTTTGGAAGGTTGTCGTCAAGTATTTTGAATTGTATTAGGTGGCACTCAAAAACTATATAGTACAGATATCTGAAAATACAAGTTTCGACACCAGAGTACACTTTATATTTGCCCTCATGACCACCAGCCCACACACAGAGTACCACACAGTGTCTCACAGACAGATCTTGACAGGTAATATTTTTCTCATTCACTAACGTATACAAACATACCGTCTCCGTTTCTCAGATTTTAACTCTCCACACAGCGTTCTACTAAGTGGAGCGCTAACAAACCACATTAAGAGCACTGTGACTGATGCTTTGGTCAACAAACCAAACACTTGTCTCCCTTTCACCGAGCGCATCTCTCCTCCTGCTTTTGTTCCCCCAAGATTGAGACAAAAGTCATTTTCTCGTCACCAGTGCAGCAAAGGATGCTGGGCAGGAATCATTTTCTCTCAATGCCTGATGTTGTGAGTCAAAAATGCTGAGCTCTGCTGTTTTAAAGACATACAATCCGTTTTCTATGAGCAATAGAAGTTCAGTTCTTTGCCACGAACAAGTGCTTCCAACGTCTTTCTCGTTATGAAATCATGAATTGAGCCCAAACAATGGTGCCCCTCTGTTGTTTTCACCCATTTCTGATAAATGTTTCACATCTTGTGTACATTATGAGTACATCTTTTTGAGCACAATGTTTTTAAGGCTTCATGTAGTGCAAACCTCATTGGAAAAATCACGTGTTCTCCTTTATTTATGAATATTGTGTAAATATGTTTAATGTCATTTCCTAAAGATATTTTTGTTTGAATAAGGGCTGTATGAACTAAGTCATTTTAAGTCTACGAGTATGTATTATAGTTGCTGTCAGAATTTCACAGAATATATTATTTCATGTTAATGATTTTAGTAACATGAAACATGATGAATAGAGAAATCTGCATTAGCAGAGTTGTGACAGAGTAGGCCCGTTGTTCTGTATGTCACATTATCGCAGTGGGTTTTTACATTTGTGGCAAAACAAAGTGACACAGTCCTAATCTACCTAAACGGTAGATTAGGACAAAGCAACTACAAAGCAGACAGGTTGTCTAAAGCAGTGATAATGGTTCTATTGTGCGCTCACACAATACCAACTGATACATGGGACGCTGTGCCAAAAACAAGTTGTTTAAGTTTGGTTAAAACTGGTTTGTACATGCAGAGAAGGCCGTGATATTTAGTGCTGTGTGCAGATATTGGGCTGTCTCTGTTTAAATGTAGTGGAATTGTTGTTTTTTCTTTGCACCAAGTGAAAGGAGGGAATTCTTTCCACTTTGGCACCATGAACCCCTTCAGGTTATCGTCTTTGAGTACCTGTTTAACGAAAGGGTATATAAGAGAACAGATCTGATAAATGTATAAATACAAGTATGATGGCCAAGTAAATCTAAAGTGTATTGGAGTGATACACAGTATGTAGCAAAAATGTGTATATACTATATGTACCTGTACTTCTTATTACAACAAAACAGCTAATTTACACCCAAAATGTTCTATAAATGTTCTTTCCATGAGGATTGTGCAGCAACTAATGCCACTTTTGAAGATGTGAAACATTAAAGATTGTAAAACCCATATAAGGCTTCGGTTTGACTTGTGTTTGTTAGATAAAGTTAACAGCGAAACAGCCTAACTCCTCGGCTTTAAGAGCTAATTTGAGATCACCTTTACCAACTCTTGTTAAATAGTGCTTTAATATATAGTTATCTCCGGACAAGAGAGCACTATTGCCGTTTCACTGTCAGCCACAGCTCCTCTTGAATAGTTGCCGGTAAATGACAGATGTTACAGTACATCGGCAGTATTTTCCCAGCTGGGATTTGAAGCAGCAACAATCACAAACATGTCCTAGTAACCACCAATTCACCCGTAAAGTCTTCCAACGTAGACAGATTGATGCATCAAGGCACTAACGAAAGCTGCCACCGCTGCGGTGCGCCTCTAGTGCCACCCTGTGGCCCTTCCTGAAACTACATGAACCCAAAGCATTTCTACTTATTAGTCCTGAAATATTCTCATCCTTTGCATTCATTTGTTAAAATGAGAACAGTGACGGGCTGTTCTTCAGAATAAATATTTTAATAAAAGTTAAGACCTTTTACAGTCAATTATAGACTTAACAGACCTTGTAGATGTAAAATGACATGAGACAATTGAATACTTTTTAACACCCTTTAAGCATTATTAACACAGTGTAATAGCAATAGCTTAAAATATATGTATTTCATATATATATTTAATACAACAAATAATAATTCCAAGGAAACGGAAATGAGAATAATGACACTTATGGAATTTGTTTTACTTCGAGGGATTAATGGCCCCGCAATAATGCAGGTAAATGGCTGTACATATCATTTATTATGCCTAGTGTAGCCCTGTAAATACAAATCATGCAAAACATTAACATTCAGTGCTATCAGGCACAATTGCTGGATTTAGAATCTGTCTGGGCAAGTGATGCAACTGAAAGAAGTACAAGTGATTGGTCCCGTTTTAAAAAAACAAAAAAAACACAATCCTATGCTCTGTGGTCATTAGATGTTCCTGACTGAAGCAGGCATATCAGAGGTTACACACACTAAACACATTCGATTCGTTCAAACTGTATTCTCAAACACTGAATATAAAGACAGGACAGCAGAACTGTTCTACTGAGAGTGGTTTCCTTCCTTTTAACGATGACTTACTGTGGCCCTGCTCCTGGAGTGCAGTCCTGACATATTAATGACCACAGACAAGAAAAATCAAAACAGACAATAACATGTTAAAAGAGGAAATATAAGGAGTGCAGGTAGTATTATGTGTATTTTGATACAGGCCCGGAAAAAAGACGGTGAAGTTACGAGGGGGAAACGTTGCACCTTTTAAGAGGCATTACACTCAAATCACATTTCCAAGTCATTCATATGGTCACAAGTCAGGTGAGAAGATGAGGATAGGATTAGTCAGGCTTTACTGGTGTGGTGCTGGTTAGGTAGGAGCTGGTTAAATACCAAGTGCTGTTATCTTTTTAAAGCTACAGCTGATAAAGTTTGATAACTTTTTGTCATATTTGCTAGATTTGTCACTATATCCTGACAGTAATACACGAGACAAATAAACTGTGGAGGAAAACATTTGATGCGAGAAACAGGCACTACAGTACCAGAATCTTGATCAGCTTTCCTAGTTTGACAGTTTGATCAGAGTCCCCGAGCTTTGCGAGCAGTGATTGACACCGCGTTAGGGACTGCTTGGCTCCGATTGGTTGTTTTTCTTCAGGCGCGATGGTATCTCACAAATACCATTAGGGGCCCTAAGAGGAGGCAGAGGAACCTGATGGTTTTTCACAGCTTATCCGTCTCATGCACTACTGTCAGGATATAGTGACAGTTTGAGCAAATATGACTAAAAGTTATTTCTATTGAACTGTATAGCTTTAGGAGGCTAAAATTACTCATTATTATCGTCATCTTCTAATATCTAATTCTGTACATGTCAATCAATTTCTGTACTGGTCATCCGATTGTACCACACTTCATAATAAAGCACCTTATAGGATGAAGATGTAGATTTAAAAAGCATCTCAAGATTACCAGTGAATTTAGCCTATCAAATAACAATTTACAGCGATACTTTGGGTGTTGTGAAGTGGCGTTGTGTGAGGTAATTATACAGTCAGTGTACACTACTAGTTAATACACTGACTAGGGATAAATACGTCATACAACCCCACTTCAAAAACACCCAAACTATCCCTTTAAGTACTGGAAGGTAATGATTTGGTTAGACCAGGGGAAGTACTCTCACTTTATGAACACACATAAACTTGTAACTGCACCAAATTTCTCATCCAGAGAGGAAATACACTCTTTTTGGCCCCCAGTCGCTGGCACACCTTCAAAACTCTGATGTGTAGAACATACAGAACATACAGAACATGAACAGAGAAGACAAATGATGAGTGGTTAAAAGTGACTTATAGCAAAAGATCAACCTGTCACCCACAGGCAGATATGTGATCAGGGTGTTGGCTGTTGGTGAGTGTCCCACTATCACCCAAACCCTGATGTGAAAGTAGTTTTCTTTAATGTGCACAGCCCCGTCTATCGCTGTCCAGTTATGTTGTTGCCTCCAGGATTTATGACGATGGAATCCAGTAACGGACGGAGAGCCTGGCCAAAAGGCCTGAAGAGGAAACACAGCAGACAGTACTGTTACACAGGAATCAGAAGGGCCTCAAGAAAGTCTGAACAAATCACAGTATGTGAGCTAGACAAGGGGAAGGGGGAAGTAAACACACAAGACCAGAGTCTTTCAACTGAGAATATCACACACAGCAAGAGAGAGAAGTAGACAAATAACACACAGAAGTCAGTGTCACAATAACTACAATTTTAATTTTACTTCACTACTATTGCAAGTGATTGCTCTGTAATATCAATATTGCGATAATGCAATAATGTCAGTGTCACCTCCTCAGAGGAAATATCCACCACCACAGCTTCTCACACATGACATCATCAATCTGGGATGTTCAGTGCATTTCAGGCTTTATTTGGGGTGATGTAATGCAATTAACGATTTTCCTATTCTAGTTTCAAACTTGCCTCGACTATACTTTCACTTTCACTCTAGCTCTTCTACAAAAAGGAAAAATCAGGAAACATTGGTGCAAAACAACAAGTCAATTAAACAAATTATGTACTTCTGAGAAAGAGACTCACACCTGTATATATTGTAGACGTTTGACATTCTCACACACTACATTACAAATTCATAATTTCTATTATTGTGACAACATCAGCATAAGCACAGATTCAGTTTAACTACAAATACAGAAAATAAGAAGAGCACCGGTGATTATTGACTCACGTGGATAGAACTTCAGATGGAAGGTCTGTAATGTACGACGGGATCTTTTTCCCCGTGAGGAACTGAGCCACCTCATTGCTGAAGGTGTTGCAGTTGTGCTCAAACAAGTTGTACTTGTCACCGCTGTGCACCCAGAGAAAAAAAAAAAAAGGAGAGAGAGAAGAGACATTCATTTAAGAGAGAGAGGCCGAACAGGGTGGAGATCAGGGCGGGTGAGTAGCAGGAAAAGACAAGATAGCCACATTTTGACAGAGAGATAACAGGAGGAACTGAGAAGTGTGAGAATTGAAATGAGGGCTGTGCATTGGCAAGAATGTGGGGATACAATACGTATCATGATACAGGGGATAGAATTCAATATACTGCGCCTTACGCTACTTCCTGTCTCAGTTTACGTTGTTACATTAGAATGGAAGAGTCAAATGGCTGATAGATTACAACACTACCATCTAGTGGTCGAGGGTTTAAGCACAACACAAAATGAACCACTGACACATATCTTTACATGTAAATTACAAATTAAAATGTGAATTATGGCCCGTAGTTCTTGCTAAAACCAGGAGCAACTTCCAGGTGATGACATGGTTATATTTATTGAGGAGTTAGCGCAGCAGCAATGCATTTGCCTCACAATTGTTTGTTTTTTTCACTTGTAAATTGTTGATTTAATAATTTGGAGTAAGATGAGGACGTCTCATACTGTATTGAAATACCTTCTGAAAAAAATTAATTGTAGGCTACATCCGAACTATGCAGGTAAAACGTGTTAATTACTAGTCACAGTAATTTTGTGGCAACCGTTACTCTATCTGACCTCCGGGATGGTCCCACTGGGATGTAAATCTGTGTGATGAGCCTGAGCCCGTACCTGTATGAGGACTCTGCCAGTGAAAACAGGTACTCCATAAATATATCTGCAGGCACCTCAGTGGAACCCAGGTCCACTATGGAGCCAGGATTACCTAAGGGAGTGCCACCCTAGGATGCAACACACATACACACTTCAGTATGCCTTTTTCAAGCACTTCTTGATCCATTACTTTCTAAGTATTTGTACTTGAGAAAATGATGATGCTGATTCTTACCGGTGGACAATTGTTGACGCCTTCTCCCACAAAGAAGAACTCCTTTCCATGGACTACAATAGCAGTGTGCCTGTAAGATACCAAAACACCATGTTCCCATAAAACCAAGCCAATGAAAGTAATTAACCACAGTTCACAGGATCTTTAGTGAGAACTTCTACAAAACAAGTCTACTTACCATACCCCGTCAAGCTGTCTCCCTGTGATGATTAAAAAAACAGGATTAAATCAGAATGGACTTATTCCAATCTTAGTGCTTGGCAGAAAATAAAGTCATAGCTTAGGCCTGAGTAGCATCCCCGCTCTCTCCTGGTTTCTCTCGCCGGCCAGGTTATACCGTCTACGGCTTTCATGACGCCAAGCAACAGGTAGCTCGTCGAAAACTCACCTAGCATGAGAGGACTCAGCTGTCGGGCCATGCCTCTGGACATGTCGTAAATGTACAGTTTCACTGGGTAGGAGTCGGTTTGGTCCATGACGGCACAAAGGGAGTGCTTCAAAATGCAGCTAACCAAGTACAAAGATCCACCGAGAGTTGGCTGGCTAGCTTAACTACTGAACAAAACTTAAATAAAAAGTTTATTGTGGAACTGTTATGGATATAAATATATGCTACAAGCTATTTCACATGAAAAATAATAATGTTGTAGCAAATATAAATCTCCTAATAACAGGCCAAAGTTGCCAGGTGCTGACAGCTAGTGCTGTGTCACTGTCTAACTGTAAACAATAACATGACTGTCAAACAAAGTGCTTTCGCATGGCGAAGCCGGCATTACTTCCGGTGTCAAGCAGCGCTGCAAACAAAGTCCCGCCTACTTCACTAGGATTGGTCAATATCTTAAATTGACAGACAAGAGTCCAATAGACGACGAGCTGTTCCGTACGCTTTTTAGCGTGCTCGTGCACGTACTTGAACGCGCCAGCCATTGAAACTAGTCTGGACTTGTGGGCAGAGAGAAGCAAAGTACGGCGATTGACTGTATGCTCATACAATTACTTTATATATTTTCAGTTTATCGTTTTAATGTGTTTACTCCTTATAATGTGTGTGCATCATTAGAAATATATATTCGTTAACTAAGCGAACCCAAAATACTAATGAAGCGAACATTGGCTAACTACAAGCTAAGCTAGCCAACGTTGCCTGGATGAAGTTGATAACATTAACTATGATATTAATAATATCTTAACTAAACCCAATACATGATTCGCGTTTTCCTTCGCATAGTTATTGTTGTCTGGTTAAATTAGCACCACATTTTTATTTGTTTAAGAAGTTGTAGGCGTAACGTTACGTATTCGTTGTAAATTTTGATGGAGCACAGTTTATTTCCTGTTGTGTTATTGAACTGCTGAATCCTGTGACAGGACCAGGAGATAAGGAGAGAGAGCACAGATGGCAGAGTGGAACGCAAACTACCGGAATGAAGATGACGAGGATGAGCAAGAGGAAGGAGAGCAATCTGGAGGTGAAATGAAAGACTGTAAACTGCCATCGAACAGTCAGATTTGTTGATTATTCCTCTCTGCTAGATTTCTCCTCCCCCTTTTTATGTTTACTTTGCATTTCTCCAATTAAAGAACTGTATATGACAACTTTTATTTGATCATACTTGCATGCCATGCAGTTTAGTGTTATGAGCTACATAGTTATTGATTTGTAATCTAACACACAATTTATCAGATAGCATTTGATACCAACAAGTAAGACACTGTCTCAAATCTGTCTGCCTGTCTTTGTTAGGAGATTACAAGATCACAGGGAGAGACAGTTTGGTCTTCTTGGTTGATGCCTCCAAGGAAATGTTCATCAAAGGAGAAGATGGACAGCCCTCAAACTTTGACATGACCATGCAGGTAAGATAGCCAGCTTTCTTTCTTTTCTTTTTCTTCTCTGTGTTTTTGTTGGAATTGATGTAAATGTGTTGGAATTATCTCAATAAGTGTGTAAAGGTTGAGACTGTGTAGTTGGAATGGCACTTTTAGGAGTAAATCATCAATTTTTTTTAATATACAATTATTTTGACTAAAAACAAAAGAACAACTACTGAATATATCGGTATTATATGCCTCGTTGGTTGTTTTTATTCTGAGATATGCCTTGAGATATGTCAGTGTGCAAGTGTCTGTGCTCTGTCCTTGTAGGTTGTGCGCAGTGTGTACGCCAGTAAGATCATTAGCAGTTACAGGGATCTGATGGCGTTGGTTTTCTACGGCACAGAGCAGAGCAAAAATCCCAGGAACTCATTCAAGCATGTCTACGTGTACCACGACCTAGATGAACCCGGTGAGACGCTGCACTTTCTGACACATGATTACACCAAATCTGAATTGCTGTTGTTTTGCTGCAAACACAAACTTGTTATTGTTATCACATGTTATTTCACACAAACACAAGAGCAATACAAAATACCAGTGCAGCGTTGCAGTTCCCAGGGTTCGTACGGTCATGGAAAACCTGGAAAAGTCATGGAATGTTTAAATGGTTTTCCAGGCCTGGAAAAGTGCTTGAAAAAAATGTAATCCCAAAAGTTTTGGAAAAGTCAGGGAAATGTGTTATATTCATATTTTCATGTCGTTCATTTACGCTGAGTTGCCAGCCGGCGTTTCTCAGATTGGAGTGAGACGAGGAGAAAAGGTGATGTTGTGATCTTCGCAATAGAACATCTTTGACGTGTCGAGTCTTGGCCAATCAGCGTTCAGATGTCTACAGCGTCTTCATTTCCCTCCGTTAAAGTTTAAGTTCCGTTATGTTCTGTTACCGTTCAGACTTGCTGGGTTAAGTTAACGTCCACTGCATGCGGAACTTTGTCGACTGTTAACGTTCGTCATTATCGCAATTTTGAAGGAAAAAATGTAACGTGATGAAACATGCAGCTCATTAACGTTAAACCAGAACACCGGCGCATCTGGTTGCAGGTTGTTTTTTTTAACTCGAAGTAGAATGAGGATGATTTCGTGGTCAGAATAACTTTCATTACCATGAAACATGAGGCCCAGATACTGATGAGATGATGAGGTCAAAGAGCTTAATGAAGAGGAGTCTGTTTGCGTAGCGCAGCTTGACGCAGGGCTGAGATGTGAAGGAGCTGGGCCTGGATAAAGGTGGAGGTCTAAACAGACATGAAGGGAGAGCAGTACAGCTTCCTGCTGTCAGTGTTTTAAATACATTGACAAGGCAGGGTATGCTGAATGCAGCCTCTGCTCCAAGGAGATAAAGTACAGCAACAAGGACTCACATGTCCTCTCATCACTCTGTGCACACCGTTCACTGTAATGACCACAGCCAGTGTGCTAACAGTCCCAACAGTCCCACGTTGCTCTCAAGAACCCTGAAGTAATGAGAGGGTTAAGGTGCCTGTACCTTCATTTCAGTGGGTTGCTAATCACAGCTATTATTTTACTCTTGATAAGGTACCTCAACCAGAGTAGATTATCATTTAAATTTAAATAATTGAACTGGATTGAATGCATATTAATTGCAAATAGAAGATAGGCTACAATTATAACAGCTGTACAGTAACAGTGGAAGTTAATATGAAGCCATACAGTAACAGGGTTCAATGAAAAATTTGCACTACAAAAGGGAAAGCAATATGTGCACTAGCTGGATGCTACTACCTACTAAAGCTCTTATTGATGTGTCAGTGTCAACCAGAGTATATTTATAAATGTTTATTCTTTTAATCAAACTATTGGCTCTCATTCGTTTGTGTCATTTAAGGTAGACTGTATGCTTTGGAATTCTCATTGTCAGTTTAAATACTACATTTTCTCACTTTTTCATGTATACACCGAGATTTCATAAAATGTTTGGTCATGGAAATTTGGTTTAAAGTCATGGAAAAGTCATGGAAATTCATTGGTCGAAATGTGTATGAACCCTGAGTTCCACTGGATCAGTTTGGGAGGAAAGCAGTATTGGTGACTCCACAAATTGCTAAACATGTCTTTCTTACATCCCCATTCATTCTGTTTTTCCTCATCATTCTGCTCTCTTATTTTTTCCGCAGGTGCAAAGCGAGTGCAGGACGTGGACGCTCTGCGGGGGGGGAAAGGTGCCCAACTAGCAGCAGAGACCATGGGCAGCGGGGAGACGTCATTAGGAGACGCCCTGTGGTGCTGCTCCAACCTCTACAGTGACATCAAGCTGCGTCTCTCACACAAGCGGCTCATGATCTTCACCTGCAGGGATGAACCACATGGGGGCGACAGTGTGAAAGACCGGCAGGCTCGCACAAAGGCTGGTGACCTCAAAGAGACCGGTAGGTCTTCAGCAAAAAAGCTGCTCCTCTTTCATGAAATCTGTAATAATACTGTTTTGGATTAAAGCTCAGAGCTGCCTTTAGGAACTTTTCTGTTCAGCCTGTATGTCATGGCCTCCTGAGACTTATCCCTTCTCTCATAGGTGTCATCATTGATTTGATGCATCTGATGAAACCGGGCGGCTTCGATGTGGCGCCCTTCTTTCGCGACATTATAAGTCCACCTGAGGATGAGAGCGATTTGGGGCTGCAGCTGAAGCCTTGTGACAAACTGGAGGACCTCCAGAAGAGGGTGCGGGCCAAGGAGCAGAAGAAGAGAGCCATGGCCAGGTAGAGAAAATTAACACATTTCCATTTCCAGACAGAGTGCAGTCTCGTCACTTCTTTTTGCTTTTGCATTCACATGTATTTGCTTTCTTTGTTCTTTATGGTTCATCTTTGTGTCTTTTCAACACCTACTTCTCTCCTGTTCCTCGCACCATCCATCCCTCTCTGCCATCTTTAGGTTAAACCTGTCTCTTGGTGAGGGCATAAATGTAGCTGTGGGAATATATTCAACTGCTGTGACAGCTCGGAAACCAGCTGCCATCAGACTTTACAGGGAAACCAACGAGCCGGTCCGCAGCAAAACCCGGACCTTCCACACTCAGACTGGCAGCCTGCTGCTGCCCAGTGAGATAAAGAAATCACAGGTAAGAGCACACTCAATGTATGCTCATTGTGGATTGGTTGTTTCATAAAACTGCTTAGATTGTCACATATACCATACACTTTAAGTCAGGTTTTATATTAGCCAACCGGTAAAATTAAAACATCTGAACAGAAGAGTGTATCTGCTCAAACTCAAATTTAGCTGAATTTAGTTGCTGACCACCATAAATTTCAGTGATTATCAGTGTTTTTTTTTTGTTGTTTCTTGTTTGTTCCTTGCTATAGGTGTACGGTAAGAAACAGATAGTGATGGAGAAGGACGAGGTGGACGCCATCAAGAAGTTTGAAGATCCTGGAATGTTTCTGATCGGATTCAAACCGATGGAGAGGCTCAAATGTCACCACCACATCCGCCCTGCTGTCTTCCTCTACCCTGAGGAGGACGAGGTGAAAGGTACCAATGCTTGTCTGTCTGTGTCTGACTTACTTCAAAACTACTATGAAGCCATATTAAAGCCTTAGTATTGAGTGTCTTACAGCATCCTCCCTGTTTGCCGAGCTCTAATGTATCCTGTGTTTCCCACCTCAGGCAGCGCATGTCTGATCTCTGCCTTGCTGACAAAGTGTAGCGAGAGGAACGTGTTCGCACTGTGCCGCTGCGTCGCTCGCCGGAACTACCCTCCTCGGTTTGTTGCCCTGGTGCCTCAGAAAGAGGAGGTCGACGAGGGGAAAGTACAGATTTCACCTCCAGGTGATGAACTGCTGCGCTCAGCAAAGGAGGCTAACAAACTTTAGCTCCTTTTGCTAACAGTGAAAGCAAGATAGACAACTACTGTACGTTACAGGTCATTGTAGTGGAGAAGCCTGATGGCAGCATGTCATCTCTCCTGTATCAGGTTTCAATGTCATCTATCTGCCATACGCCGACGACGTGCGGACTCTGGATCCTCCCCAGTACCCAACAGCCTCACAGAGACAGGTGGACAAGATGAAGGAGATCATCTCCAAGCTCCGCTTCAAATACAGGTAGCTACACGCGTTCACTACTTTACAGAGATCTTAGTTTGGAGATGCTGAAAAATGGTTTGGAAGAAATAAACAAGGGTGTCTTTGGTGTGTGTTGTAGATGTAACAAGGTCATTTTTAACTGGTTTCTTTCTGCTACATGTTTTCATTCTTTGTAATGGAATGCAGGAGTGATGCTTTTGAGAATCCAGTCATCCAGCAGCAGTACAGGAACCTGGAGGCCTTGGCTCTGGATATGGTGGCTCCAGAGGACATAGAGGACCTGATCAGTAAGTTGCAGACAAACTCCTTGTGGCTGGTACAACGACTCCTCATTCCTTTGACTAACCTATACCTGTCCTTCTCTCTTTTTTTGCTCGGTCTCAGTGCCAAAGGTGGAGCAGATGAACGACCGTCTGGGTCCTCTGGTTCAGGAGTTTAAAGATCTGGTCTACCCCGCCGACTACAACCCTGAGAGCAAACCAGCTGCCAAACGCAAACCAGGTCAGAGCTGGAGTCATGACAGTAATTAGCTGAGCAAAAAAGATTTTACTGTATCTTTGTTGGTATCACACGTTTGAATTGTTCTGCCCTTACACACAGTATAGACTTTGGTCAAGTTTATTGATCAGGACAGAGGATTTTGAAATACGTCACTGTGTCGACTGAGTGCTTTCTCCATGATTGAACCAGCAGCTGATACCGGAGGCGGAGCTGAGAAGAAGCCCAAAGTGGAGGTGCCAGAAGACGAGCTGCGGGTCCACGTGCAGAACGGCACCCTGGTAAAGCTGACCGTGCCCGTGTTGAAGGAGGCCTGTAAGCGGTTTGGGGTTCGCACCACCGGGACCAAGAAGCAGGAGCTGATAGATGCTCTGACTGCCCAGCTGGGCCAATGAGGAGTTAAATATACAACTCACCGTGCCTTCATGAGCGGGCAAGCTTGTTCAGATCAGTGTTGATCTGTTGTTGCACTTGATTCCAGATGTAGAAATGTCTTCAGCCACTTTGAAAGAACCAAATGTAATGATCTACTTAAAAGCAGGAAACAAGTTTTGAATTAACTGTGTGGCCTGTGAAATTTGGGTAAGACTGGGATACTGTGTCCATAAAAAAAGCATCCTGTCGGGTTTTTGCTCGTGTTTGTCAGTCGCACATTACATGAATAATGTTTAAATGTAAAAAAACAGTAGTTTTTTGTGATCAAGACCACTCAAATGGTTGATGTGAGTTACATTATAAAAAAAAGTCTTGTGTACATTTGGAATTCACTGGACAATAAGCATAATCATAACAATACTGTTATTAATGTTGACAATTGTTGATAATCTTGCATTTTCGTTAATAAAACAAAAAGCCTTTTACAGCCCTGCATCTAGTTTGTTTTATTTCATTAAGTACGTGAGTCAGTACGCTGTACACGTTCCGGTTCTTCTTGTTAGAAGAAAAAGGTGTGTCCATCCAAAGAAATACATCAACATACCTGAACATGGCTCAGTACAATAAGAGCAGTGCTGCTCTTGAGGGCGGGCCTGAGCGGGAAGAAAACTTTGACCTAGTGAGTTGCATCAGGTTTTGACAGACTGACTGTAGATGGCATTCCTGGGGAGGATTATCTGACTACGCCACATGTAATGGAGTTTTAGTGACATTTTGCAATTGCTGTGGGTTTAAATAGACATTTAAACTACATTATATTGTTTATGTGCAGTTTTCCTGTGTAGGTTTTCTGTTTTGGTTTACCCTGTCTTGAAACTCTGCTACATGTTAACATACAACCGACTACAGAGCCTTTCCTAGGTTGATTTTGAAATGATATTGAGGCTCTTTACTTTTGCTGTAGTAATAGATTTTAATCCTGATATTGTTCCCGGTTGTATGATTGCGTTTGTTAACCCGGGTGTTGAGTTAATCTTTTAGTGCTTTTATACTGACAGTCCTGGGCAGAAGTGCCATCACATATTCTCGCTACCTTGACACGGACTGGAAGTCTGTTAACTGCACAGAAATGGAGTGTCAATGTGACAACTCTGAGGATGCTGTTACAGGTGAGACGGACATTTAGAAAATCATCAAGCATGCTTTTAAAAGACATAGATGTCTGCGCTGCTTCACAGAGTAAATAGTGTTATTTGTATCTTAACTTCCATTCTATGAAAGTACATTTTAAACAGACACTTAATGAACTGTCCATTACTCAGTTAATGAACTTATTTTAATCTCATTGTAATATTGTGTCTTCATGGTTGCGTGGTTGTATGTACTCTATAGCGTCAAGGTAGCAGTAAAGAAATGTTGACTTCTGGGATAGTTTTTCAAAATAAATATAAGAAATCAAGAGCGCCTAACTTTTGCAGTTATGACAAGTATTTCATCCTGGATTTTCCACTTGGGTGAAAGGTAAACCCCATGACACATTGTGTGCAACATTGCAATACTAATGCCTTCCTCCCTCCCCCTCTCTTGTTTAGGCTGGTGGATGAGCAGCAACGGTGCCCAGATGGGAGCTTTTACTGTGGTGGGGTATCTCCTCTACAGATTCTCGCAGAGTCAGTCACTCGCTGACACACAACATCACATTCATTTCACAAGCTCCCCCTCACATACAAGCCAGCAGGTTCCTCAGATTGATTGACCTGTCCTCCCCAGAGATAGTGAGTCTGGAAACAAGAAAGCACAAATTGTTTTGATGTCAGGGGCTCAGCCAGGACTTGTGGGTCCTCCTGGGTGACCCTAACCTCCCTCCATTTTTAGTGACAAACATCAACTAACAGTATACCGATTTGCATCAGGCCTGCTGGGCACATTCTTTAAATGATGAAAAACAAACATCTCTAAAGGATAAAGCAGGTGATACTCTATATTTGTCACATGGTCAGCAGGAGACAGAAGACCAAAACCAACAATGAATCAATGATGACCCCCTGCTGTAACACTGATACTGATAGCAGTCTGTTTTCCCTGCAGCACTCCCGGCTCTGATCCGATGGCCAATTCGTCTGTTCTGCTCCCTAACTGGTGAGTTATGTATCAGAGGTCAGAGGTCACTTTGTCCTCCCCCTCACAGTCATGTTTGTGTACGATGTGACATAAAAACACCAGATAATTAATGTGCGTTCTGCCTCAGGTCTGTCAGCTCTTTGGAGCTGGGTGGGCCGCCTAGTGGGAACCCTTCGTGGTACGACATGTACATCCCTCATTTCTGACCCACAGGTTCAAAAAAAAAAAGAAAAAAGAATGTGTCACATGTCACCTAAAGTCATGTGCTAACTTTTCTATTTATGTCTCGCGTCTCAGGAATCCAGAGCCTGTGTAAATGGCTGTCTCGAATTTGGCGGTTTGTCGGAAGTGAGTGTTTCTTTTTGACATTGTGTACTCTTCATTGAGTGCTTTTTAAGTGTAGGTAAACAGGTCAGGGGAAGTTTAAAATTGGAGCGGGTATGTTTGGGTAGTCTGAGGAAGAGACTCGGAAATTCAGCAGACACAAGAGAGCAATCTAGTATCTGCATGGTTCAGCTATTTAAGTGATAGACCTGCATAATTGTTTTAGGCCTATACTTAAGCAACTGCCTTACAATGTGCTCCTCCATCAGCATCTTCCTCCAAGTTCAAGTGGCTGGTTGCTGTCATCACAGGTCAGTTCACCTTTAATTTAGCATTTTGAGGATTTTTCTACTGTTTCTTGTTTGTTCTGTTGAATGTGAGATATTTGAAACATAAAACCTGCTCACTCAGACCCAGTTTGGCTGAGAATCTCAGCTTTTATCGTTTATCGAATGAAAACCTGTCGCCTCTGCAGGATCATCTGGAGATGGAGCACTGGAGTCACAGAATGATCGGACCAGCAGCGCCAACAAACCAGGCCTGAGGCTGATCCTCCTGGGGCCCACGGGTGGAGGACGGAACTCCCTGGCCGATTCTTTGTTGGGCAACAGTGAGAAAACGGCACCCATGGGTCCCCTGATGGAGAGCACCAAGAGATGGACAGTCATGGGTGGGAGAGAGGTTATAGTGATCGACACCCCAGATCTTTTGGGGCCGTCATTGGGGAACAACAAGAGAGCCAGAGAAGCTCTGAGGAGCCTTCAGCTTTCCAGTCCTGGACCACACGCCTTCCTGCTGGTGATACCAGCTGGGGGCTCCAGCACGGGGATCGACCAGGATCTGACGCAGGCCATCCAATCCACCCTTGAGCTGTTTGGAGACGGGGTCGCGACGCACATCATACCAGTACTCACCCACGTAGACCGCCTGGGTCGAAGGCGTACGGTAGATCAGAAGCTGGATGTGAGGGACTCCGGAGAGGGTCTGGAGAGGGCTCTGTCTCTATGCGACCAGAAGCCAGAGCTGGTGGACAACGGGCCAGACTGCCCCCCAGAGGCAAAGAGCGTGATGCGCAGGCAGCTGTTGGGGCGGGTGACGGAGATGAACAGGGGACATTTCGTCCACGAGCTGCAGAGGAGGGAGGACCGCATCAGAAAGGAGCTGCTAGCTGACATGAGCTCCGTACTGGCTGGAAAACTGGGACACATGTAAATGAGAGGGGTTGGGGGGGGTAGTTGGTGTGCATGTGTGTGTGTGGGACAGAGTTGTCGGGGCAGGAGGAGGAGGCAGGATTCACTCAAGTGTTAAACATGCAATTTTGACTTTAAGTGTAAGGGCGATTCTTTGCCTGGGGTATATTTGTCACTCTGCTGGTTTACCACTGTCCAAATGAATTTACTACCTTTGGCCGCCTTTTGGTTTTCAACATGCCACAGATTCTTTCGGTTAGAATTCATGCCTATACACACTTCTCTTTCCCATTTTGGTGTGTTGTAATTCTTCGATGTCTGTATATTCTTTTGTGAAGGCCTGCGCCTCATGTTTTCTTACTCTGCTCCAGTGCTCGGCCCTCCCTTGTCTTTAATAATTTATAGGAGATATCAAACTTTAAAAGATGATCAGAGAAAATAAACTCAAGTCACATTGGGACTAGAGTTCAGCAGTACTGTTTGAATGTGTACTGTGCTTTCTCCAGAGGCCTCTGAAACGGCAGTTAGACCAGAAAATTAACAATTGCTTAAATATAAAATACTGAAAAACAAAGATCTTCATCATATTGTCAGCGGATGACAGTAACAAGTCGATGTATGATATAACGATATCACTAAATCTATCATTTTAACTTTGACAACATATTATCAATATTATCTCTTTGTTGCAAGTATATGTAGTCAATGTAGCGCAGTGTAAACCCTAATTAACAACTTTTCATGTTAATTCATGTTATATATTACACGAGTAAAGCGGATTGTTTCTCTGGTCAGAGAGAGCATTCAAACCAAACAGTACAGACCCTCAACAGACCAATCAGGTTCCTCATGCATGATGACAAACTTTGGCATTAATAAGTATATTATACTTACTGGTCTGCAGTACTTTTGACAAGCCTGACCTCTGATTTGAGAAAGAGAGAAAACAGCATTAAAAGAAAATGCCCTAGCAGCGCAAGAACTGTCCACAACTGAGGAAAAGAGATGACTGGCTGACTGGAGGTGGTCCTAAAAACTTGAATGATGTTTTAGTTGCCTTGATAGGAAGTGCCAAAGTCTGTTACACTTGCCTTAGGAAGCATGTTTTGGTATTGACACTGAATAAAATGACTCCTAATTTAAGCTGGTCACTCAGAGTGGCAAACACACTTATTAACACCAAACTGCAGCTTTGTTTCAGGTTTTCTGCCTGCACAGCATTCTCAGGAGTTTGCAAACCAAAGTGGAGCTAAACTATAAAGTGAACCGTATTTTGAGTGAATTCTGAGCTATTCTCAAAATGTCAACACAAGAGGAACAACTCCTGTATCCGTTAACAGCGTTACCAAACAAACCATCGGCTGAGGCGATTGTCGTAATGTTTCAATTCAGCAGACCAAAAAAAGACCGTTGACAATGTCATAGTTATCGAAAGTATTCCCTTGTTGCATCTTTTGTGTTCCACATCATGTCCGGTGTGTGAATCCATTGTTTCCTTGTGCATGTACTACGCAATTTGAGACTCCACCAGTCTATGGTTGGTTATAAGAGGCTATATCAAGAATGAATGAAAGAATACAAATACATTGAGAGGCTATCCAAAACGTTTTGTTTGCCATTAAAAAAAGCTTTGTTTGCAAATCAACGACTTATTTTTGCTGTTGTGCTGAATCTCGGTGGGATGCTGAAAGATGTAAAACACGTCTCTATTGGCTAGTTGTGATCGGAGGGACATCTTAACAACATGTAAGTGATAATGTACATTACTGACCCCTCATTTCACAACACTGACCCACTCGTTGTTCATTACTGCGCCTATAAAGGGGCTAAATAAGAAATCAGCAATTTGACACCAAATATTGTTTTGAAAATGATTGTATTCATAATTATAATGACACGGATGGGGTTATCCAGAGTCCATAATCATATTACGGTAGAATGCCATAATTGACCAGAATCAGTTTTGAGAATTCAACAAAGCAGTGTTATAACAGTGGTTGAAACACCTATACTACCATACTATTTAGTATGCAGCAAAAAAGATAGTGTATGTCCTAATACATAGTATGTTAAATGCAGTATGCCAAAGACACCTGGACGGTAGGTCCGTATGCAAGCGTCCATGAGCAAGAGGGTCAAAGTTCAAGGTGCAATGTTATGAGGAAGAAATATGTCCTACAGTATATTTGAATGCTTACTGCACGCTACAGTATGTACGGCTCTTACACTTTTAAGCCTAGGTCCCGCTTATGAGAATCAGCTCAACACTGACAAAACTTTTAGATTGCAAACAAAACTTTTGGATTTGCATTAATATATTTTTAATCACAAATGTATTTTACTTTTTAGTTTTGCTATTAAATCTATTTTTTTGATTGTACTGTGGAAAGTTTTACTCTCAAACCTCGCTTGATTGCATAATAACAGCACAGAATTAACCCCATAAACAGTTGCCTATTTATACAACTCCGGCTGTTTAGCTGCTAAATATATGTATAATGTTGTCTGCCATGCAAGAAAACCACAACAATGAGCTAAAAGAGGATAAAAATGCTCTACAAATTGGTCATGTTAAAACCATTAACACCTACCAACTCACCTAAAAGTTATACATGCACGTCACTGCTGCAAACAGAACTTATTAAGCGTATATATTTTAAGCATGTCCGCTCAATGGGTGAGGAGGATAAAGTGGAAAATACGGGGCTTCGTCGTCTCAGGGGAGGGACTGCTGCTCCACTGTCTACTGACGCAGGCGGTGGTGGTGACAGCAATATGGAGCCAGGGAGGCGCCACTGCGCATGTCCGCGTCTGCACGGACGGAGACAGACTGAGCGAGAGAGAGAGAGAGAGCGAGAGCGAGAGCTATACTAGGGAAAGATTGGCAAAGACAAAGGACTGAACAGCCTTTAGGGAAACGGGAAAGACTATATCCAGTTTATACACCGGTTTATAACAGTCCAGCCGTGACACCACCGGCGTGAAGCGACCAGGTAAGTGGTCGCGTGGAGAAAATGAAGTTATAAGACGTAAAAGGAAGCGTTGTGGTTGTGTTCGCTGTGGACTCAGCAGTCACGTAGAGCAGCCAGAAGATTATCGCCAGATATCTGTTACTACCGCGGATGAATTGCATCTGTACGTGTATGGTTTCGGAGCATTAACAGCCGCTATCACCGTTAACGGACCGTGAGCTCTCTGACGTGTGTGTGTGTGTGTGTGTGTGTGTGTGAGTGAGTGTGTCCTTGTTTTGTTCGGAGCTGTTGCCATATTTTTTTGGTGCTAGCTTACTGAACAGGCTGCTTCCTCTATCCTGTCCAGGCTCCTGAAAATGTTTACCCTCTTCTTATTCTGGGGTCTGCTGACCAAAGAGGAGATGGTAGAAGCTTTTAATGTCACCCCCCCCCCCCCCCAACTATTTGTCGCCATCAATAACAAATTCAGCGTTGTTTTTAGGTGTTTGTTAAGTTTTTTTAGCTGCTGTTCAGACTGAGTAAGCTGTTTTTAAGATGTCATTTTTGGGCTCGTGCTAACTTGTGGAGGGAATTAGTCACCGTAGGTAGTTATGTTGAAACATTAAATTATATATTCACAAAGGTAGATAGTAAAAATACAGCTTTTGTCTCCTGTCTTTCTGTCAGTTCTGTCCTTCAGCACCAGGTCCTGGTTGTATCTGTTTCAGTGGACGTGACGCCTCACGGTCAGCAGCTGGGTGACATGGAAAGAAGTGTGAGGCTATAGGCTTGGTGACTGGATGGAAAGAGCTGTCAACGCACACACACACGGAAGATGGAGGAAGTGGAAACACACAGAGAGCAGCGGCAGTTTGATTGACCACACTGCTGTGGTGGTGGTGGTCTTGTTGAAGGAGTAATCTTTCATTGGGAGCATCTGGAGTGTCTTTGTTTGCTGGCGATCCCATCTTGAGCTCCACTTTTTACCCCCCCTCTCCACCTCCTCCCCCTCTTTTCGGCTTTCTGACCTTCCAGCGCATGCTGCTTAACCCTTCGGCACCACCACCGCCCCGACCGAGCCGGTGTTAAACACCACCAGGTCTCATTCACCTTGCAACCCCCCCATCACCACCACCGCCACCACCTCCCCCTCGA